TCTGCGATTCCACCTACAGCCACCCGTCCTCTTTTATTCCTACGTATCTCCCAGACAGACAACCATAACAACAAAATTCAGTTTTTGGGGTGTGTCAAAGTGATGTAAGGGATTTCASAGTTGAGCTGCACGTGCAATTTGGCACTGTTTTACCAGTTTTTTTTACCGGAGCTCTCATGGAAAGGTGCCTTTTGCCCGGAGCGCCACGTGCTCCAGGTGGTTCCAGTCGCTGCTGGAGCTGCCTTGTCTTTCAGAGCCGCGCACGTCCCGCCTGACACCTCCTCATGCTGTTTGCAGAAGGGGCGCAAGCAGCAAACCTGCCAGCCCTCCAGGGCCACAGCGAGGCACAATCTAGTTTTCCACCTTAGCATTTACGGCCAAGCTCTGATCCAGGAAAATTCTGGCTTTTCCTCGCTGACAAAATACGAACGAGCAGGTTCATTAAGTTACTTAGAGCAGTGACATATTTAGGAAAACTTTAAATCAGGGTGACCTGAAGCAGAACACCAATTTTCTTCTTCTAGATCCGCGCTAGCATCCCACATTTCTCATGCCATGCCATGCAACGTTAATCTTATCTAAGCCTTCCTTTATGCATCTCTATTCCCTTCGTTGCCCTTGGCCTTTTCAGCACATGATATTTTACTTCAAAGGAGTGCCAGCCCCTCCAGGAAGGGCTGTAAGATCCGAGGGTGAAAAGATAGCATCAAAACAATCTCAGCAATTTCCAGATTAGATCCACTAATAAAAAGCCTGTTGTGTTATCAAAGGCAGCGGGTTTGGTTCTGCAAGGAAGCATGGACACGAGCACTAGAGGGAGGTATTTCCCCATTTACCATGGATTTCGAGGCAACTGGAAAACATCAAAATCTAGCAGCGAGAAAGGGTATCCGTAATATTAAGATATGTTAATCAACTGCAATTAATAAGAGTGAGCTGCAACTCGTCGTAATCAGCTCCCATCAGTTGCCAGTGATAAAGGTATTACCCAGCAACAGATAATGAACTGATATTTAAACTGAATTACATTATTTAATGTATAGAAAGTTGCAGCGAGCCCCTCGGTGCAGCTTGTTTACATGTTTATTGTAATGAGCAGCAGAGCTCCAGAGCAGGATGCAGGGAGCTGGGAATACACATCAGTTTTCCCTATGAAGGCAGAGGGGTTAAATGGCCCCTTCCCTCCTTTGCAGAGGGGGCAGCCCGTGCAGTAAGACACGCTTTAATTTAAAAGCTGCAGCAATCTGCTAAATGCAAAACTCCCTGGCTCCAAGCAGCGGGATGAGCATGACTTGGGCAATGCCTGCCCATGCTCAGCACATAAATAAGAAGGATTTTTAATCCATCTCTTCCTAGCTGGGAGGAAATTCATTCTCTTGCCCATAGGAAAAAAGCCCAGGCAGGAATCACTGTCTGGAGCTGAGCGTGTGCTTTGGCACTGAGTGCTCAGGGTCTGGAGCTTCACAACACTTCAAAAACTTGAAAAAAAAAAAATAATAAGGAGCAGAGTCGCATTAATTGTAGCGCGGGCGCTGTGAGAGCTCGTGCCTAGGTGGAGCTGCAGCACCAGGAATGCGGAGCGGGCTCCCGCTGCCGCTTCCAGCTCTCCTTCCAGGCCAGTCCTACGAAAACAGCAGCAAGCAATAGCACTACAGGGCAGGCGCTTCCAAAAAGTGGATCAACATGCCCCCTTCTGGGTGCGGGCACCGCGTGGCCCGGGGCAGGCAGGGCAGCACCACGCGCCAGGCTGGTGCAAGAGGGATTTTCCCGCAGGTTCTTGGCTGTTTTCCAGGAATCCTCCTCTGCGCTCCAGGCCATGGACAGCGCTCCTGGAGCCCCTGCCTGCTGCCTGCACGGGAAGCTTCCCAGAGCTGCAGGAATTCATCCGAGCGCGCTTCCAAGCATCGTTTTCTCCAGCCACTTCCCAGCCAGCTGTAGCTCAGCAATTCTTAATAAAATATTTTATATAAATATTTTATTTATATAAAAGCAAAATAAAGTCTCAGCCCTTCTTGCTCATCCTGCACTGGTCTGTGCCCTGGCAGCACCTGCCCCTTCCTCCCTCTAGGAATTYCCTCCCAAACAGCGTTAGGCCAGGCAGCGTTAGGTCGGGAGCTGTTACTGTTTACAGGATTAGTCAGAATTTTGCTTTTCCTCAGGGCAACTGCGGAGCCGGGCACCTCAATGCGGCCGCCGCACCGCGTGGGGCAGCGCACGGAGCAGCTCCCTCTGCCTGCCCCGTGCTGGAAGCTTCTCGCGCCCCAAAGCCTTTTGCTGAGATGAATGATGCATCTTGGCTCTGCCAGAACGGCTGCTCCAGACTCTACGGATTGAGGGAAGAAGTAAAATCTATGCTATTTGTCCAAATTTGCAAGACAGTAAGACAGATAAYATAACTTCTTGGGGAAAGAAAAAAACAAAGAAGTAGTCTGCCCAGTTTACAACAGGCTATGTATGCAGACATAAGAAGCCATGGGGGAGCGGAAATTCAGAATATTTGGGTGATGATTTCTGCCATTAAAAAATAAATAAAACCTCACACTGCTCTGCAGCTCTGTGACAGCGAGCGTGACCTGCTTTCTATCCTTCATTCCCAATATCAATTCCTTGTTTTCAGGGCAGAACAGAGCTTGCAAGGAGCACCAGGCACAGCTGAGTGCAAACCCGGGGAGCTCCAGCAAGAGCACCGYGGGCTCCACTCAAGCCAGGGCTTGGCCTCCCTGGGGTCTCCCCACTGCAGCCCCTCGCTGGGACCCCCCGAGGCTGGTGCAGAACATGGATTTGCAACGGCAGGATCAGCGCTGATTGCCCTGCATGGTCAAATGGTTCTTAAAAAATGTGTTAAAAAAAAAAACAAAAAAAAATCCTAAAAAAAAAAAAATCCTAAAAAAAAAAACCTCTAAAAAAAAAAAAAAACAGGAAGAAAAAAAGAAGGGAAAAAAAAAGAAATGTGCAGCGCAACTTTGGAGCTGTTTATTCTCGCTGTGTTTCCGGGAAGCGGCGCGGCGCGGGGGGGCGGCCCCGCGTGCTGGCTTTTGCCCGCTTTCACCTCAATCTGTCACACGGATTTGACACCGCCTCGTTCCGGCAGCGCTCAGAAGTGACACGTCTATAATGCGAATATTGTGCACATTTACAGCCAGGGCTGCTGCCCCCCAACAGGCTCGCGAGGTCCTGGCAGCCGGCAAGGCAGAAAATAACAACCACAAAAGAGGAAAAAAGAGGAGGGAAAAAAGCAGAGGGGGCTTTTCGTGCCGTGTATCGGTGACCATCTGAAAGGAGAACTTTGATGTAGCTGCTAACAGCGAGCGCGCGAGGAACGCCGCTGATAAAGCTTCGGGAGGTGGTTAGTGCTTCAAACTGTCCAGGCGTTTCCTGCAAATTAAGGAGCGTGCGGAGCAACGCGGGCTTTATCAGGTTTATCATTGCGCTCTGTTAACAGCGTATTTAATGAATCAAAATTAAATGGTGTTTCTATTTAAAAAAATAAATCAAAGTGAGTCTTTCCGAAGGCAGCGCACGCACAGAGCCGCCCCGCGYGGAGCAAACCCGGGGCCACCGGAATCAGGGTCGGTCAGCAGGGCCGGGGAGAGGTGGGTCCCCCGCGCGCCGGAGCAGGGCCAGGGCTGCCGTGGCGGCGGGCAGAGGCGGCGTTCCCGATCCCGCGGATCCCGCGGCCCCGCTCCCAGCTTCCCATGCTGCCTGCAAAGAGGTGCTGGGATCCAGCCACAAACTGCACAGCTAAGACCGGCAAAGCTGAGATTATTTTTGCTTTGCTTTTTAGAGGGCTGCCCAGGATTTAACATCCTGATCATGCCCTGAGCCCTGCCTAGAACTTCTGTATAATAACACTGTCCCTCTTTGTGCATAAAAATAAGTCTCCTGCTTGCCTTTACACTCACCCTGATCTTTTGCTCCCATTCTCAAACATTTAGTTTCAGTCTTGAAAGACTGAGGAGGAAAAATCCTTCCTGCTGGAGAGGGCCAGGAGCTGAACCAGAGCACAGGCTGCTGCATGGCCCTGGGATGCCAAGGGAAGCCTTATAAAATCATAACAAAATTAATAATAAAAGGTGCTGTTTGTTATTTATTTATTTGTGCCAGAGTGCAAACCCAAGTTTCCATCATGGCATTCCAAGACAGGAAATAATTCAGTGCTGCTTTACGAGCCATGGTTCACCTCGGGGCAAGCAAGCTTTGTTCCAGCCCTAGGAATAACTCGGAGCCTTGTCCYGGTCTGCACAGCAATAAAAACCACACACAGATCTAACCTCTCTCCAGCCACATTAAAATCAGCTTAGCTAATTTTAGAGGTATCTCTCCACCATCCCCTTTCTGTAGGGCTTGGATCTGGCTGGGAATTGCATCCCCGCTGTGCTCCGGCCTCGGGAGCGCGGGAATGCTGCCGGTGCCCGCGCGGGAGCGCGCCTGGTGCCCGCGGCCGGTCTAGCAGAGGTGCCTCAGAGCGCCCGCTGATCGCCATAGCAACCACGAGCCAATTACGGTAATTAAGATTCATGCGCGGTTGTCCCTTACAATCAGAAGCCTTTCCAGGCTTTTATTTATTTATTTATAGGCGCTCCTAAAAGTCCCTGGGCCCCCGGCGCTGGCGAGGCTCGTGCAGGGCTGTGGGAGCCCCACGGCCAGCAGCGTGGAAAGGTCATGGGARAACAGGAGCGGAAAAGGGAGCTGCAGCACGTGGAATTGCTGCCGGCATGGCTGCTGCACGGTCCGCTCGCTTCCCGCACGCAGAGCGCTGCCCCGCACGGATGGCACCGGGGATGGCAGCGGGAGCTGGCCYGGCTCGGGGCTGCCACACACCTCGCCGGGAGCCGGGTCGGCACCAGGATGGCCGGGGCGCCCAGCAGCGCGTGGCCTTGCCCATGGAGCGCGCCCGACCGCTCGGCCGCAGCCGCGGGACGGAGCGGGGCTGAGGGGCCCATCGTTTGTAAGAGGAAACCCCCTGCTCTGCAGGCTGGAACATTTTCCCCCCTTTGCCTCTCCTTTTTAAAGCATTAGCGATGGCAGCATCGCATGGGCTGAGGCAGAGTAACATTTGACAGCATTTTCCCTTAAATTTGCAGGCATGGGAGGAGATCACAGGGTTACCACGGGTGCTTCCTTGCTGGTGCCCATCCCCTGGAGTCCTGCTGCAGCACCTGGCAGGAAGACCACACCAAAGCTGCAGCGGTGCAGGAAAGCACATCCTCCAACCACTGTTCTTCTTATTTTTACTCTAATGCTCTTTAATGTATCAGTGCACTTAGGTTAGATGCTTTGACCCCGTTTTCTGCAGCCAGACACAAATTAAATATGGAGAGAAAGAACACAGCTACTGGCTTCATTCTGCACAGCAAATACCTCAATAAATGGAAAGACCAAGCATCATTTTATATATATATATAAAACTGCATGCCACGCAAGCCAAACTCCTCTAATATGATTACTATTAACTAATTAGGCATAGCAAGCACCTTCTCCAAGCCCTCCCGCTAAAGCCACGTTTGGAGTCCAGAAGAGCTCCTTGCGCAGCCCGCCGTCCCCGGCGAGCGGCACGGGAGACATCCCTGTTGCGTGAAGTCAAGTGGGGTTACGCCGGGTTACGTTGCATCACTAGGCACAAGACATAACCACATGTAAGATGACATAATGCAAATTTCAACAAGATGTGGATTTTTCCCTACACACCAAAGTGCTTCCCAGAACTTGTACAACCCTGACTGTGCGGATGATGCCTGCGAGGCTGGAGGTGCCGCAGGGAGCGCCGCGGGCAGCGGAGCCTCCACCTCGCTCAACAGGATCACCAAAGAGGTACCTGCTAAAATAYTGGCCCTTTTCTCTTGTTACTTTGCCTAGGCTGCCTTGCCTCTTCTTCCTCTCCTTCCAAACGCCCAGTCTGGAAAAGGCTATGGGCTATGGAGCAGGAGGTCGGTGCTCCCAGGGACGCATGTCCTAGTGTAAGGAATTCCCATTGCAGGAACGGAGKGTTTCCAACACGCTCAGTCTGTTTTAACAGTAAGAAAGTTGACGGAATCCCCATAGGGAAAAATGGAGCAAAGATTAACACATCCTTATTGGGCAAATTAAATGTGATCGGCTTGGAAATCACCGTTACCTGCACACGCCTGAAGATTTAGGCCAGCGGAGTAGAAGGGATCCAACACGTCCATGCCCGTGTGTCATATGGATGAAGGGAGAAAAGTAAGGTTGAAAGGGAAACCAAGCCAGCTGGCACTGGGACACCAGCTCCTCCACCTTGGCCCCATTAAGATAGGCCTGTCCTGATGCTGTCCTCTCCAAGGTGGCATCTCATCCTTGCCCCAGGGTCCCACCTCATCCTTGCCCCAGGGTCCCCAGGCTCCTGGTTGGTCTGGGGCTGCTCTCCCACGTTTCCCGGCCACAGTGGTTCTCCCTGGCCCTGCCTGTGCCAGTCTGCTCGCGTCCCAGCCCTCGAGCTCCTGGAGCTCCTTTGAGCTGGCAGAGGCAACTGCTGCCTGTAGTGATCATGGTAAGTGTAAATATTTATGAACTCCCGAGTTTTGCATACCCAGCCTCGTGGCTGCGGGGCTCCGTGGCTGCGTGGGTCTTGGCTTGCAGCTCCGCAGCAGAACATGAGAACTGCCCGTCTCGAGTGCGTTGAGGCAGGACACATCTCCACATCGGCCTCGGCAGAAGGCATTCCATTTGTTCCCAGGCCGAGCGGCATCAAGGCAAGGGCACAGGGCCCCTCCCGCCAGTTCATTCAAGGTCTAAGAGCCTTTGTTTCAGAAGTTCTGGGGATAAAAGATTATGGCTTTCCTTCAGTGCCTCTGCTGCAGACCTGGGGGTGAACTGCAGCTGCCTGCAGATAGGCAGTTCTATGTTCATAATTCCAGATTTAGCCGCAACTCAAGGAAAGATTATGAAGATCAAAACATGTGAAGCGCTAATTTAATCTATTTAAAAACATCAGTCTGGGAAGAGAAAGGATCGGTTTAGTGGTGGGGAGTAACAAAGCTTTTTGATGATTATTTATCTTTATGAATTATGAAAGAATCTTGAAGRACCTGTAGAAGAAAACAAACTGATGTGATGTTCACCTGATAACTCCAAATGTAGCTTCACTACCCGCTCACTCAGTATCACTGAAACTTAAAAAATAGAGAATTTTTCACTGCTCAGGTTATCCCAAATCTGATGTTGGTTTGCTTTAGGGCTCCCTTTGCTCTGGGTGTCCCTGCGGGAGCAAGGGGGTTGGATTGGATGATGYCTAGAGATCCCTTCCAACCTCAACCATCCTGGGATTCCCTCCCTGCAAACCCCCCACAAAATTYCATGCAAGAGATTCCCCCATACACTTCCAGCCCACACAGGAAGCACAGGGGGACTTGCCTGCTGAGCCCACCCCATGCCCAGCCTAGAGCCACAGGGACCCAAAGGTGCCCCCTTCCTGGGGCAGCAGCACCAGCCACCCGGGACCTCTCCGGGCCATCCCTTTGGCTTGCAGCCCTCCTAGGAACGCCCTTGTGGAGGCTTTGATCAGCTCACAGCCCCAGGAGCACATGGACGCACTGTCTGCTGGGTCTGGACCCAGCTGCACACACCAGTTTGGTGTAGACGAGTGGACACCACTTCACCCCTAACCCCGCTTCACCAGGACAGTGGTTGCCCTCTGGAGCAGGTTGCACAGAGACTGTGGAGGCTCCATCCTTGGACATATTCACAACCCACCCAGACACAGCCACCCACTATAGTTCCACATTAGCATAGGAACTCATACATACACTTGATTACTTCCTTTTAAAACAAATAATCATAGATTTCACTCAAGTTSCTCCCAAAATGCATGCCTGAATATCCTTGTTACCTTCCCAATGGATGCAATATCAATATCAGACAGAGATATGAATAAAACAGCATGTTATTTACAAGAAGTGAAATATCACGCCTTAATTTGGCCTAGCATGTCAGATATTTCTCTTGGAAATTGTTACATATGCTTGCCTTGGGTTTCCGCCAAGCCTGGGAAATCATTAAGCATCTTTTAGGTACCATGTGTCTATATTTAAGAGTAGAATAACAGGGTGCCTGAGCTTGCTTCGCTCCAGCCCTTTCATTTGCTCATCATCTAGAGGTCTAGTGTGGGGGAAGAAGCCAGGGTGTGCACCAAAGCTGTGGAGCTGCCTGGAAGGGGCAAGTTCCTCATTGCCACCCCTCCAAAAGGTCTGGGGGCAATGCCCCTTAATGCATTTTAACTTACACCTGAGCAGGAAAGGTCCAAGGCACACTCCCAGCAGAAACAAAAACTTCCAGGTTAACATCAGGTTCACGTCAACTCATTGTTGCTTTCTCCTTCCTAAAATAGGACGGAAACATTAATAGTGCCATTAAACACTCAGGGAGCTTGTACGTGAAATCTCCCATCTCAAGATATCATAAAGCTCATATGCCAAAGGCGAAGATATTCCCGGCCATTCACAGCCACCATGGGGATCAAACCAAGGTAGTACCTTTCACCCGGCACCAGGACAAACACTGCCTTCAGAAGCCTTGTGTTARTCTGTTGATAAGATTTATAGTGCACCTGGCACCCATCAGATGGCCAAGCAAAGACCTGGTTGATTGCCCTACACTTGAGCTCCTCCTCAATTAGTGACAAGCAGSTGCATCCCATTGCTCGTGTAGTCACCTTAGTGGTTAACTCCGGGGGCAGTGGAGAAACAGCTGAAGATATGATGACTAATTGCTTTTATTTCTTATTATTTGTGATTCTTTATGGACACAGACAATTTCATAATATGGTCTAGCCACAATGTCCACAAGGTTCATCTAACCCAAAATTCTCTAGACCTTCCTTAAAAAAAATTTTTTTTTGAAAACTCAAACAGCAAGTAAAAAGATATATGCAACACTATTATTTTCATTTTTTTAGGATCTCAAAATAATGATCATAATAATAATGGTTTTCTATATTGATCTGCCATGCTTCTAAGATGACCTGACCATGTCTGCCAGGCTCTGCTGAGGGAAGTGRTCCCACCAGGCAGAACAGGAATGGCCTTTTTCACACAAAGGTGACAAAACATAAACTAGACTGAGTAGCTGGCTGCAGGTCTAGTTTGTGTTTTCTCTCWATTTCCTCACTTCGAAGGCCGCGGCAGTGCTCTAGTTTGCGTGAGCAGCGCGTTCGGTGTTTCTTCCCTGCCCTGCCTTGCTGCACGAGCTCTGCTGGAGAGACTCCCGCACGCCTTGCGGCTCGCGCAGCTGCTCGCGCCCCTTCTCAGCAAGGAYCTAATTGCAGAGCCCTCTAGGAAGATCTCCTATTAGTAAAACTCCATTATTTCATCAAAACATACAAAAGACCATTTCCTGGTGTAGGCTGAGCCGCTATGAATAATTCTGCCAGGCTGTTCTTGGCGAAGCAGGGAACAAAGCCCATGCCTGCGCTCTTGCTGTCCCGGGGCTGGTGCCTGTCCTGCGTGTTGCAGATTCTATGATTTACAAAGCACGGAATAACGAGATTTCATTACTGGTGAAAAACAGTACTTTGGGATTCACCTGAGTGAAGACATGAATCAAGGCTTTGGCCTGAATCAAGATTTCCTTTCCTCAAATACCCGGTCGTCTGTAAGCATGTATGAGAAGAGAACCAGGGAATAAAAGTTACTGAAATTAGGATATTATTTTTCTGGATGAAATCCTGATCTCCAAATGTACTGTGCTATCCTGCTCTGTGTGCAGAGACCTCTCAAACTTTTCTGCTTTAGAGATATGACAGTAAATTTAACCTGAGAAAAGAAACATTTTGGATGGGTAGGTGGGCAATGGAATAAATCTGCACCTCTAGTGTATCATGGCAAAGATGATTAACCATTTAGGGGTAGCTGAGACCCCCATTAGAGATGACACTCAGTCACTCACAGCAATTTTTCCCTAGACCCCAAATAATTTGTCTAGAAGAGACTGTAAAATCTAACCAGCCTGAAGTTAGCAAAACAAATGTCAGCCCATCTACTTCGTGTGTCTGCACGTCTGAACCCCTCAGATCTTACTCTCTTGATTTGATTATCTTGATTATCAGCATCTGCTTTAGTGGCTGACACTATCAAACAAAAGACATCAGTTTAAATTATGGCTTCTGTCTTTTACTCCCTGACAGAGCTGTCATGCCCGGGCTGTGAGGAGGAGGATTGCAAAAGCAAAAGAGAGAAGGCAAAATAAAACTGCATGTASCCGAGAGCCAAAAGCAGGAGGCAAAAGAATCCAAGACCTGCAGCAACTAGGGCTCCTGAGGAGATCGTTTAGCAGAGGTCAGAGGAGTCTCCGGAGCCTGCGAGAAGGAGCATCTGCAGCATCTCCTTCTGTACCAGGAGAACATGGTTAGATGTCCAGAAGATGTCCAACCACTTCAGTAACCATCATTTGTCATTTGAACATTTTTCCACAGAATTCCAGAGTGGTTGAGGTTGGCAGGGACCTCTAGGGATCACCCAGTGCAGCCCCTGCTCCAGCAGGGACACCCAGAGCACGGGGCACCCGGTCCCATCCAGGCGGGTTGGGGAGATCTGCAGAGCAGGAGCCTCCGCAGCTCCCTGGGCAGCCTGGGCCAGGGCTGGGCACCCTCACACTTTTGACCCATCTGGAAAGCCTCTCCAGGCTTGGGATTTACGACAATTTATCTCTTTTGGGAGTTAAGAGCTTTGCCACATTGCGCTGTCCTTGTCTGACCCACCTCCTCAAATGTGCACAGGTTTAAGAAGAGCCAGTTATGGAGGAGCAGCTATGGTGCAGATTAGATGATTAGACTCGTGTTGACAGAGGTGAAAACGTCCAGGCCTATGTTTGGAGAAGAGCTGAGCAGATGAGGAATTTGTAGATAGGACTAGAACATTTGCTGTATGTTTTGCAACAGAGTGTTTGCCTCACTGTGAAGTTGGGGTGCTGCTGCAAAGGAAATGTCAAGCATTAATATTTGCAAAAGCTCTTTTTTGGTCCATCGCTGGTGGCTTCCAACACAGAACTCCTCTGTAAATAGGCAGATCTGGAACTGAAGTTATTTGTGATGTTTTACAGTATCCGAGTTAAAAAAMTGGCCTTTCAATTATATCTCCTTTTCTTTTTCCCTTCGGGAAGATACCCACAACCCTYCACTTTACTCAAGACCTGTTCCTTGTGCCCATCCTTCCATTCATACCTTTTCCCAAGCAACCGGCCTTCCCTCCTCRTTTCATATTATTGTTTCTTTCCATGGTGCACGAAACTACATATTTCTTCTGCTTTCTCCTAAAGGACTGGTTGCCATCAAAGTCAGTAAGTAAAACACAGGTAGAAATGACACTGATATTGTAAGAATCTATGACTTTTATTACTCCAGTAATTATTCCCTTGAGGAGGAATATATCCCTGTTGCAGTGATTTCCAATGCTCGTCTTGTGGCCAAAATTCCAGTTTTTGCCATATACCAGCTTCTCCTTTCCGCTCTCTCCAGCAAGCACAAGCTCACCAACCTGCTTGGCATGTTCTCTTATTTCGACATTAAAGACAACCATGTGTGATGTGTAGTGACTTGGGTCACCATTCACACAAATCAAAAACATGTAATTGGAAACACCAAACATGCAGTGTCATGTTCATTAAAAAAGATCATACAACCTCTCCTGGCTCAGGTATGGCCATTTAAAACACTCAAACAATTATGAGGAATGATCAATTTTATTGATAGCTTGTGAACAGACAAAAGAGCTAAACCTGACGAATAGTTGGTGATGGATAGTTCAGTGTGTAAAGGAAAGAAAAAACAGAAACACAAGAAAGAGGGTTTTATTAGATTGTAAACTATCTGCCCAGAGGATTTAAAATATTAGAATTTTTTTCTTTCTTAAAAAAAAAAAAAAAAGGAAAAGGAATTACTTCTCTCAGATTCTGCATATTGCGGTAATATATTATAAAAAAAAGTAAACAAAAAGATAAAAAAAAAAAAAAAGAATAAGATTCTGGGTTCCTTCAATGAAACGTAAACACTGCAATGCTATTTTTCATTATTTTAATTCAGAAAGCAATGAGTAATGAGGCTTAAGGTATCATTTAAAAAACTGAACTATTTCCCTGGAAGTATTCAAAACAGGCTATTTCAATTAATTTAGAAGGTAAAATTCATAATTTGCATGATAAGGTGTTTGGCAAAATTGTCATGTACTCAGAAAATCTCAGAGCAGAGAGCTTCCCCCCTGCCCCAATTCATTTGCTCTGTCAGAGAGGACCAGACTGCCAGGACGTGCCCGTTTTCCCTGCTTTGCAAGTGCCATCTCCCCTTAGGGGAGCTGTGGGGTCAGTGGGATGACCAGAGGCACTGCAAAAACTTGTGTTTTTGCAAAGAGAACAATGTACAAACCAGTGTTCTTGGCGAGAATCTTGGCACGTGCTTCAGTTTCGCAAAAGGCAGCCGGTATTTAAATCAGCAATAGTTTATTATAATGCATATATATTATATGCAGTAAATGAATGGTGTCTCAGCAAAATGCTCGATGCACGGGGACAGGTGATTTCCACATTCTGAAAAAGTTTTACCAAAGAAATCCGAATGGAAAAATCACTTTTTAGACATGTGGGAGGTGTATAACTGAAGCCCACCGATCTCCCAGGCAGAGCCAACAGCCTTGCCCCAGGGTACCGAGGCACCTCTGTGGATGCCTCCTTGCAGATACGGGTTATGAAGACCCAGCTTATCTACCAACAAGAAGTCTTTACTTCTCCCTGCTCCCGCCCAGGCTGCTTTGAGCCTCCCCATCCTTTCCTTCTGCTCCCCTCATGTGCACCACAGGGCACCAGTCCTGTTCCAGCCCAAGCAGCCTGCAATTTCCCTTTTGATCCCTCCTTCTGCCTCGATCAAATCTTGTTTGTGCTGATTACGCTCACTAGTGCATTCTTCCTAACGTCCTCAGCGGGCTAGTAGAAGTTTATTTAGCCTTATTGATGAATGCATCACATTTGCAGGCCTATTGATAATTGCATAACAACGACAACTGAAGCGCATCACGAAGTTTATATCTTTCCAGTTTGGTTCACCTTGTTCGAGTGAGGAAACAATTATTTTGTGCAAAATACCTAYAAAGCGCCTTTGCTTCTTTTGCATTTATATGTTAATAGCTGGGAATTATGTGGTCTTATTTTGCTCTTTACCTGGATAAAGTAATTCTCAGCACTTTTTAATAATTCATTGAAAGCTTTGCTGCAGGGCTGCTGCGGTCTGGAAGCTCTGATTGAGAGGAGCCATGCGAGGGCTAAGGCYTTCTGGGGGAAAAACATCGGAAAGTGCAACTTTTCACAGAATATGTGGATAAAACACAGAA